GCTGAAGGTCATACAGGTCTACGCACCAACCTCGGCACATCCCGATGAGGAGGTGGAGGAAATGTATGACGATATTTCTAGAGCCATGCATTCCTCCAAAACCCACTACACGGTGTTGATGGGAGACTTCAACGCAAAACTAGGCACAAGAGAAGGCGGTGAGCTGAAGTTAGGGAAATTTGGAGTAGGGCAACGGAACCGTAGGGGCCAGCAGCTGGCTGACTTTATGGAGAAAGAGGGACTCTTTATGATGAACTCTTTCTTCCAGAAGCGGCCCCACAGGAAGTGGACCTGGTCGAGCTCCGACGGTTCGACAAAAAATGAGATTGACTTCATTATGACGACCAGACTCCAACTGTTCAGTGATGTCTCAGTGATCGCAAGGGTGAAAACCGGCAGCGATCACCGAATGGTTAGAGGCACACTGAACCTCAACGTTAAGTTGGAGAGGTCTCGTCTAATGAAGTCAACGCTCCGTCCCCCTCGTGCTCTGATCCAGAATCCCGAGACTTTTCAGCTCGAGTTACGTAACCGCTTTCAGTGCCTAGAAGATTGCAATGCAGTGGACGATATGAATGACAAGCTCGTGGAAACTGTCCATGCGGTTGGAGCTAAGTTCTGCAAGACCCGCCGCAGAAGAACACAAAAACTCTCCGATCACACTCTTAATCTCATGGCTGTTAGACGGGAGATGAGGCTGCAATCGTCAACAGATTTGACAGCATACAGGCAACTGAACAGACAGATCTCCAAATGCATGCGGCGAGACTTAGGCAACTTTAATACTGCTCGTATTAAAGAAGCGATCGAGCGGAACCAGGGCTCCAAAGTCTTTGCCAGAGATCTGTCTGCCAGAAAGAGCCAACTGTCAAAGCTGAAGACTGAGTGTGGCAGCATTGTTTCCGAGACACCTGAGATTTTAAGTGAGATTGAGAGGTTCTATGGGCAGCTGTACACATCATCGTTGGAGCCACACGCAAGTGTGAGTAACGATCCAAGAGCAAGTCTTACCCGACACTATTCCGATGATACCCCGGACGTCAGTCTGAGCGAGATATGAATGGCTCTCCAGCACCTTAAAAACGGCAGGGCCCCAGGCGAGGATGGAATTACAGCGGAGCTTCTGAAAGCGGGTGGAACACCGGTACTTGAAGTCCTTCAGAAGCTCTTCAATTCCGTCCTCCGTGGTGGCACTACTCCGGAGGCGTGGAGCAGAAGTGCGGTGGTCTTGTTCTTTAAGAAAGGCGACAACGCTCTCTTGAAGAACTACAGACCGATTTTCCTTCTGAGCCGCGTCTACGTGCTGTTTTCGAGAGTCATTACGAATCGTCTCGCACGCAGACTCGACGACTTCCAGCCTCCCGAACAAGCCGGTTTGCGAAAAGGCTTCAGTACCATAGACCACATACATACCCTGCGGCAGATTGTACAAAAAACCGAAGAGTACAATCTGCCACTTTGCCTGGCGTATGTGGACTATGAGAAAGCCTTTGATTCCGTCGAAATTTGGGCGGTGCTACAGTCCCTTCAGCGGTGTCAAGTTGACTGTCAGTATATCGAAGTGTTGAAGTGTTTGTACAGTAGGGCTACGATGGCTATCCGAGTACAGAACCAGAGTTCGAATCCTATCCAACTGCAGAGAGGTGTAAGACAGGGTAACGTTATATCCCGAAACTCTTCACCGCTTCGTTGGAAGACGTTTTCAAGCTACCGGACTGGAAAGGATACGGTATTAACATCAATGGCGAGTACATCACTCACCTTCGATTTGCCGATGATATAGTCCTTATGGCAGAATCCCTGGAGGACCTTAGCACTATGCTCAATGACCTCAATGGTGTCTCCCAACGGATAGGTCTTAAGATGAACATGGACAAAACAAAGATCATGTTTAATGTCCATGTCATACCTATGCCGGTAGTTGTTGGGAGCACTATGCTCGAAGTTGTTGACGAGTACGTTTACCTGGGACAAATAGTCCGACTAGGTAAGTCCAACTTCGACCGAGAGGTCAATCGACGGATTCAACTCGGCTGGGCAGCGTTCGGGAAATTACGACACATCTTCTCGTCAGGTATACCTCAATCTCTGAAAACTAAAGTGTACAACCAGTGCGTGTTGCCAGTGATGACTTACGGATCGGAGACGTGGTCCTTCACTGCTGGCCGTGTGAGGACGCTCGAGGTCGCTCAGCGAGCTATGGAGAGGGCTATGCTCGGAGTTTCTCTGCGTGATAGACTCAGAAATGAGGATATCCGCAGTAAAACCAGAGTTACCGACATAGCCCAATGGATTAGTAAGCTGAAGCGGCAATGGGCCGGCCATATAACTCGAAGAACCGATAACCGATGGGGAAGAAAGGTTCTCGAGTGGCAGCCTCGTACAGGTAGGCGTAGTGTAGGGCGACCCCCCACTAGATCGACCAGACATGCAGAAGTCGATGGATGCAGGTGGCTCAGGACCGTGCTTTGTGGCATTGCTTGGGGGAGGCCTATGTTCAGCAGTGGACTTGTGAAGGGCTGTAATGATGATGATGATGATGATGAATTTAGGTATACGTGAGATCTTCTGTCCATTTTATTAAACTCAATATAAAACGTATAAATATTCAATAAAGAGTATCGTACAAACTTTGTTGCAAGTTTAATTAGAAAAGTACAATTGTACGTTTTGGCGCGCAAACTTTGCGTCCTGTCAACTTATGCACTGAACTAAACTCGCTCGTTTTCACGAAGGGCGAGTTTAGTTGCGGGTGGCGGGAGACGCGCGGGAGGGCAGCACTTCGCACTTTACTCGCCGAGAAATAGCTCGGCCGGCTATCTCGTTCAACTTAATCGTTAACTTGCTACTTAACTCGCTTATTGCCGTTCAAACGAGATTCAAACTTAACTCGCCAGGTTCGCAAGTTAACTCGCTACTGTACTTGTCGAAGTGTAAATCGGGGGGCACGGCAGTGCCCCCGCCAAGTCGAGCGCGAAACAAACACTGCCGTACCATCCTTTACTGGAACCATTTCGCCGCATTTTCAGGCCCCTATTTGAGAACCTCTGGATAATACCAGAACGCAAAAATTTTCGTCATCCAGTAAACTATAATCACATACTTAAAATCCAAAATTTCAAGTCTGTAGGTCATTTAGTTCCGAAGTTAAGCGAAAGCAAAGTTTCGCATTTATGACACTCACTAACTCACTCATGATCATCAGAATAGAACTAGTACTTTCCATAAACTCAGAGAGCTGAAATTTGGTACAGAGTTAGGGTTTAATGTCCACATAAAGGGAAAACTATAAAAACTAGGATAATCGAACATCTGGAGTACCTGGTGACCCTGATTAGAAAACACAAGAACCCAACCAAACTATTAGAAGAGATCGACATACCGCCTTTACAAAAAATATTTAATTTGGTGGGCCGCTTCATTAGATGTCAAAAATCGAAGGTCTAAAGTATCTGATGAAGAACCCTCAGCTGGTCTCAGCTGTATTAGAGATATGGTATTGCCCCCCTTCTACCATTGGTACATAAAAATCTACTGCCATTGCAAAAATCCAGCGTAGTGGGACACATCTAATTTAATCTAGCCTATAGCGTCCCACTGCTGGGCGAATGCCTCCCCTACTGCTTTTAATACGCATATAAATAAAATTAAAGGAAAACTCTGGATAACACTAGATTGGCTTTTATACTTATACTTACAAGTTTACAAGAAAAAATACGTGTGGCACTCGGTGACTGCCGCGGTAAAGCTATTACATAGCATTTTTATCAACTTATGCAATTATAATTATTTATTTATTTTATTTATGCAGTTAAGTATTTGATATTAAATCAAGTTACACTTTTTGACTGATAAAAAACAATTATTTACGGATCTTATCGCGTAAATGAGAAGTTAATATACTTTAATTTATTTTTATTATTATCCCGACGTTTCGGGTGCTTTACAGCGCCCATGGTCACGGGGGGAGAGTCCCCCCCGTGACCATGGGCGCTGTAAAGCACCCGAAACGTCGGGATAATAATAAAAATAAATTAAAGTAATTAAACGCGATAAAATCCGTAAATAATAGTTTTATTCAATGTGTAGTGTTCGCGTAAATTTAAGAAATCATCAAGTTACACTTTTTAAGCGTGGTGACCGATAAGAAAACAATTTTTTTTCTCTTATTGAATAAATGAGAAGTTAATATTGTTTAAAATATTTTTAATATCTTACAATACATGTAGGTTATTCAGGAATTTTTATCATTGAGTTAGCAGCTAGTGTACACGCATACGTCTAGTCGCACGCACACAAACACCGTGCCGAACTCTGCCGAGTGCCGAAGTCTGCCGAACTGAAACGACGTTAGACGATGCACGCCATTTCCATCAATCCAGGCAATTTTCCATCGTCAATGGATAGCGGTTCTGGCGACAGATTGGTGCAAGGGTGTCATGTAACACCTGGTTTTGTACCCTTGTGTACCCTTCAACGGCCAAGTCACACAACATTAACTATAATAATAAAGAAATCGCAGTAAGGAACCTTACAGACTTTGTCTAGATTTCATTACTTTTTAGAGATAAACAAGCAGCTCCATCGAGACTTGGCTAGTTTTTTACAGAATGTTTTTGGTGGGATCGGTCTTTACGGATCATGAGATACAGCCCGCCGATAGACAGACGGACGGGACGGACGGACAGCGGAGGTTTAGTAATAGGGTCCCATTGGTTACCCTTTGGGTACGGAACCCTAAAAACGAACGTATGACATTACGAATGTCATACTACGTATAACGTCCTATATCAGTCATAAAATATTTATTCAATAGTCAATAGACCACACCTGACGTTTTATATAAGGGAGAAGGTATGTGGATCAAGGGTAAATTTTATTTCAAGGCTCAATCCGGCGGAATATCGCGAACGTAACTACTAATAGCAAATATAAATATGTGATTGTTTTGATTAACGTTTGCGTAGAGCCGGCAGAAATTTGTAAAAACAAACACTCACCTGCTTTGTCAGCGTTTGATGCCATCACCCGGAACGTGCCGAAAAGTAGCACGAGCAGCCTCTGCGTGCACACCGGCAGTGACAGCAGGAGTCTACAAAAATAAATTATCTTAGCTGTCTTTTTTTATTTTTAAAATTGATAGAATCAGGCGTTACTTTGCGGAAATCCATTATAATAAAGATATTAATAGTTACTTTGCAACCATCCGCTCAATTAAATAAAATGATGTGTCTTCCCTGGCCCTGGGCGGGAAGTACTCACTCTACTAACACTCTACTAACTAGGGAAGACACATCATTTTATTTAATTGAGCGGATGGTTGCAAAGTAACTATTAATATCTTTTTTTTTTTAATTCACTACATTAAACAAAGATAAATAAAAAGGAAAATATTTGTTGATCATGTTTATAATTTTTTATATAATCATAGGAGTGCTGTTAACACTTTAAATACTTCTGTTGCCCACTCTTAATAATCTTAAAATGCATGTGCTAGCAATTAGTCGAATAGCGGATTTGAATCCACGACTTCGTGAGTTTCGCAGCCAATATGCTAAAATATTAGAATACCTTCGCTTAAAAACTAATGTGAATCCCTACTTCGAAATGAATTAATACCACCAAGTTTGTATAAAAAGGGTTATAATATGAAGGAATTTACGGATGATAATAACCCCTGGGAAGGGTGATCGCTGATCGCTAAAAAGCAAATTCTAATTCGTTATATTATGTTAATTGTAACATAAATTATTATAAGCTCATTTAAAAAAAATAGTCCAGCTGGGTTTCATGCTCGTTCTTCCCAGGACAAAGGTTTTTTCCCGAACCAGTAGTGACTTTAGATAAGTATTATTTATAATCTATATTAAACAAAAATCCATTAAGTGGTTACTTTACTATCACTATATCCTTCAAGAGCATTTTCTCATATTTTTTTTTGCTTGTGCCGTAAGACCTTCCTGCCATAATTCGTGATTTTAGGTTAGCGGGGAATACCCTATCGATTTCACGATGAAGTGACTAGCGAAGTTACGACTTAGACCTGATGGCATGTGGCTGGTGCAGCCTATGAAGGCCTGCCACCAGTTTCAAACAAAGAACCCAACAGAAGACGCGTTGTCAAATCTGAGGACTAGGAAGAAATGCCTCACAGCCTATGCTTATACTGGCTATATTATTATTATTATTGTATTACCACAATATACGCTTCAGATAGGAAAACAGCAGTGCAGGCGCCGCATATTTCATTTAAGAAATGGAAAAAAACTAGTTAGAAAAGGATTCTTACTAAATCAAAATTATGTAAACGCCTAGTTAATCTTTTTTTTATAGTATAATGTTGACAAACGAGCACACAGTCCACCTGATGATTTCAGTGGATGCTGTGGCCCATCGACATCTACATTTAACCTCGATTAAGAACCAAAATGCAGATGCGTTGTCACCCTTGAAGACTAAGATGGAATGCGATTCCAGTAAAACGGGTCTCCGGTTCTCTACAGTCACCATACGAAACTGGTACGCTGTTTATGTGGTACGCTGGTATTATGTGAGCGTGGTCCTTCATACTACAACCATAATATAACTGCAGCGTGGCTCTACCACGTATGACGTGTCTATCTTTCGTTCTTACGTTACGATTTTATTTGTGAAGATTGTGAAGTCATCATAGTAAACCTTTATATCATACATAGAAGTACAACTAAAAATATATGAATAACACTGATATAAGTTAACTTTTAAAAAGTGTAGATCACTTGAACTACATAATTGGATTAAAACAGATGAAATAAACCTTAAATAGCTATCAGTATTAATTCATATGGAGCAGTGCTGGCAGCGTCGAGTACTTTCGGCACTTACGGTGCCCCGATAATTACGTCAATGGCTGTGATTATAGGAAGTATCGTATGAATTATCAATAAGCTTCGTGCATGTAGCCGTAAAATTACGCCGCGGCATCAAAATTCAACGACAAACTGCTATTGTTCGATGCCATAACACAGCAATATGGATAGGATGACCAACTTTGTCCTCTTGTGAACGATATCAAGATGGGCAAGTATTACGTGTAAGCATCGTTGCGTAGACAATTTAAATATATCATCAGCAGGCCGTAACTGACCACGCCTGGACATCCTCCTCCTCTCCCGTTGTAGGAATAAGATTAATTTCATTTACCTTTTTCTTTGTTATAGATGTTAGAACTGTAAGCTTTAATGGCTTTTACAGCTTCATCTAATTCATGCTGAATCTAATGGGAAATGCCTGATAAAATAATTGGAAAAGGCGGTGATAATGATTTGGTTTATAACCAATTGGCATTTTTTTAAATAGTATAAGGGTGACAAACGAGCACACAGTCCACCTGATGGTAAGTGAATGCTGTGGCCCATAGACGCCCCTGAGGACTAAGATGGAATGCCCCGTTCCCAGTAAAAAAGGGTCTCCGGATCTCTACACTCACTATACGAAATACAGCAGTATTAAGCTGCTATTTTACGCTGGTATTATGTGAGAGCGTGGTCCTTCCCCGGTCGAAACGACCCATTCGTGCTACAACCATAATATAGCTGCAGCGTGGCTCTACCATCATCATCATACTCATATCACCTGTGTGGATTAGATTTGCCGTAATCGCGCCCCATACATGTTGTTATCCGCCACCGGTTAAGTTATCTTACTTCTGACGCTAATGGAATAGTCTTAATGTTATTATCAGCAACTATTGAATCTTTCTGTTGCTTCCCTCTTACGACACCCACCCAATGAAGCGACAGTAGCCTAATGGCAAGGCGCGGACCGCAAACTCAAAAAGGTCGTGGGTTCGAATCCGCCATTCGACTACTGGCGTGAACCACTCGTAACACAATCAATTTAAGCTTACCACGAGTGGTTAGGTGGAATATTAGTAATGTTTATAGCATTGTTAATATTGTTTTAAAAAAAATGAAAGACAGCAACGCCGCCTAACAGCAAAATTAAAGAACTTTAAATCTGATTTCGATGATGTAAATTGGGGGTCGATGATGTAAAATAATGTCGGGTAAATAGGAGGGAGCGTGTTTTACTGTATCGCGAAGTGGTCGTTCAGGAATTGCTATTTATTTTATTTTCCCTACTTAATGCAAAGAAAACTAAATATCGAAAATTAATGAAAACACTCAGTATGTATATTATATCAGTGGTGATATGAGTTAATAAAAAGAGTGCGTATTTCAAATATTTACATATTATAATGTAGGTACATCGTCGGGTCATAAGTTCGGTAAAAACCTCATTATTTAAAAATTTTGAATACTGGCTAGATGAACTTCACCAATTTTAAAAATATAAAAAAAGACATCCATTGACATTCATTTTCAAATATGGATTGGTCGAAGAAAGAAGATGGAGTAGCGGTTATCGCGTTGCACCGCTGTGGTTACGCGCCAAGAGATATTCAATATTCTACAAAAATTGAAAATAACCCTACGATTTGTTCGCACTATCAAACGATTCACTGAGGATTCAAGCTTCGAACGTCGTAATAGGACCGGCCGACCTCATACAGTTAGGACACCCGCGATCATCAATCCTGTTCCAATGAATCCAACGAAATCCCGTTCGTAAGCAAAAAATCTTAGCCCTTCCGATGGGCCTAAGCAGAACCACGGTTAAAAGAGTGATCAATGAAGACCTATGACTACAAGCTTATCGTAAGAAGACCGCACATTTTTTTAAACGAGCGTTTGAAAAAAATTTAGGTTGGATAGATCCCGCGCTTTGTTACGGCGATACGCGGGAGAAAAATACTGCGAAATTTTGTTTTCGGATGAAAAAATTATTAACATTGAAGAAAGTTATAATAAACAAAATCATAAGGTGTATGTCCACAGCAGTGAAGAAGCCAGCATGCATATTCCGAGGGTTCAACGAGCACATTATCCTTCATCACTCATGATTTGGCTTGGAGTCTCATATTCAGGCTTAACTAAGGCTTAACTGTTTTTCTTTGAAAAAGGTGTAAAAACCAGTACCGAGGTGTACCAAAATACCGTCCTAACAAACATAGTGGAACCTCTTTCTCAAACAATGTTCAAAAACAGACATTGGATATTCCAACAAGACCCTGCACCAGCTCATAGGTCACGAAGCATGCAAAACTAGTTGATCGCCCATGGAATTGTCCGATAAAGGACATGAAGACAGGCCCCTTTCTAGTCCAGATTTAAGCCCACTGGATTGTAAGATATGGCAACATTTGGAGGAGAAAGTCTGCCCTAAACCTCATCAGAATATCTTTGGCTAAAGCAGCGGCAGAAATAGATATGAGTGTGGTGCGTGCTGCGATTGATGATTGGCCGCGTCGATTAATGGCATGTATTCAAAATAGGGGAGGGCATTTTGAATAATGTAAATAAAATTGTATTCTAAATTAAATTACCTTTCATTTCACATATAATTTCTATATAATTATCAAAAAGTGCATCACTAATTTTATAAAAAGTTTTTACAAAACATATGACCTGACTAAGTAATTTAGTATATTTTATTTCATATTCTGTCCCATGTTGGTCTAACTGTAATGCCACAAAGCACGGTCCTGAGCCACCTGCATCCATCGACTTCCTGCATATCTTACCAGGTCGTCACTCCATCTAGTGGGGTTCGCCCTACACTACGCCTACCGGTACGAGGCTGCCACTCGGGAACCTTTCTTCCCCATCGGTTATCGGTTCTTCCAGCTATATGGCCGGCCCATTGCCACTTCAGCTTACCAATCCGTTGGGCTATGTCGGTCACTCTGGTTCTACTGCGGATATCCTCATTTCTGAGTCTATCACGCAGAGAAACTCCGAGCATAGCCCTCTCCATAGCTCGCTGAGCGACCTTGAGCGTCCTCATACGGCGAGCAGTGAAGGACCACGTCTCTGATCCGTAAGTCATCACTGGCAACACGCACTGGTTGTACACTTTAGTTTTCAGAGATTGAGGTATACCTGACGAGAAGATGTGTCGTAATTTCCCGAACGCTGCCCAGCCGAGTTGAATCCGTCGATTGACCTCTCGGTCGAAGTTGAACTTACCTAGTCGGACTATTTGTCCCAG